TCACATACACTTCATTGCCTCACTCCAGAGCGTACAATCCAAGGGCCGAGCAACAGCTATCCCAAAGGCCATCGCTACAGCAAGTGAAGGCTACGGAGGGGGCAGGTGAAGTGAGGTGAGGTGAGGTGAGGTGAGGGGAGGGGAGAGGAGGGGGAGGAAAGGGATGTGATGACCTCTACGAGGGTGGAGGCGCCAACTTGATGCCAATGCCAACAAGTTGAAGGTTCTTCCATGCTTCAAGATTAAAAGTACACTTTGCACGACTTACGCAACCCCGACTTGTCCCTTTGAAAGTTGACTGGCGTGCATGTCACATCCAGCAGTGGCATGATCGAGGCTATTGTACTTTAAGCGAGCATAAAATGCATGCAAAACAGCTGCGGCGCCAGACAACACTTTTTTCCCCATTAATAAATGTCTTAAAAGAGCACAACATCCTTCTCGTGCCAAATTCAACTTGCCACAATTCCTTCCCTCCCTTGTTAATGGAGTCCACCGTGGCTTCACAGACACTGGCGCATGTTTCATAAAACTTAGAAAATTTGTGAATAGAATTTCGGTAACGTAAAGCATTACAATATATTCTCCCACTTCTTTTTCATTAATCATGGCTTGTTGAGTGAATGAAACCGCCTGCTCAGCGATCATTTGGTTGCAGTGACAAGTCGCTTCAGTCATAAGTCAGTGATCACTTTATCACTTCAATTTATTTTATACTAAAAATTATGCCAAGTGAAATGCAAACTTCTTTTGATTGCCTTAAATTAATAATTTCTTCAATGGCTCCCACCACAATGTCTTGCACCTCTCCCAGTTGGAGCTTCTATTTTCGCAGTAGTAGTTGACAAGATTTGGACTGTCTGCTCTACGAAATGGGAGGCGGAAGATGGACGGTATGAATAGACTGGGCAGACATCCGACACCAGACAGGGATATACGAGATGAATCACTTTAGCCGCCTTTTCTGGAAGAAATTTCAATCTACTGCATGCATTTGTTATGCCTTTAAATTAATTGTCACTTTCCAATTTCCTACTTCTACGTCCATTTTTTAAACGTCAAAAAGGGCGCACGAACGAGATACGGTGGCGACATTTTTGATCGAGGTGGATCCACGCACGCGCACATGCACAGGCAGACAACCGGACACCGACAGACAGCCGGACAGACAGACAAAAAAGAAATGTGGTTTATTTTGAAGACACATCCTGTACACACTTCCACTTACGCAATCTGAGTTGTTCTTCCATTGATCGTCGAGGGTGGGCAGAAGGATCTGTCTCCTGCATGGGCCGCGCACATACCTCATCACTACTGTCATCACTGGAGTCCGCAGTGTGGGTGAGATCCATGCTGGTTGAAGACTTGCAGGGCACGGGATGGCTCTCCGAGGCGACGAATACTTCCATTTGTAATTTTGTTTGTGTGTGACGAAATAGGCCTTCAGCTAGGCTGGCTTCATACCAAGTCGGAAGTATTGGCGACGGGTATAAGAGACACTGCACATATACATTCACAAGTTACTGCTTCTCCTATGTGTGTGTGTGTATTCACGTCTGTATGTACGCATATGTGTTTTTGTATGTGCGTTTGTGTGGATGTGTAAATGAGAAATTGATAAGGCACCGCACACACAACTGCAAACACAAACACTGCTGCACACGCACACACGCACACAGCTGAAGTGGCACAATGCGGAGTTCTGACGATGCGCGCGTGTGTATACATACACTCACGCACGCACGCAAGCATGTGCGCATGCCTTCAAACCCCACACGCATGTGCGTGCGTATTCACATGCGTGACCTTCGAAACCACCAATCAAATGGCAGGACCTGATTTTTTGGCCAAATGGGATAATGTTGCTTCACCAATACCATTGCAGCCGGCTTTATTCATGAGGCTTTGAGTTATTAACCGCACCAAAGACATTGCTTCCTTCCACAATGTAACATTTCGTCTTAACAAATAGCGAATAGTGACATTTTAATGGTTCACTATCTCAGAACATTACTTTGAGGCTGTATGAGATGTTTAAGAATGATCCCCAATAAATTTAAGAGCAACGGCGTTTTTTTAAGAACACAAAATAGATTATCAAATACGGTACAAAAATAAGATCCTTTTGAATTCTTTAATCAAAAGCCCAGAATATGGTTGTTATTTGATCCAAAAAAATGTCAGAAACGTGACTTGATTAACAAACTACGATTTAACAAAGTGAGCATATGGATTTACACGCAAGCAGGTGGAAAAGTTTGCCGTCTTGTGTCATAATGACCAAACGTTTTGCTTCTTTTCAAAGTGAGTATGAAAGGCCAGGCTGATCTCAACAAGGAAATCAAGGAAACTAACCCAAATTAAAATTGGTTATCATGCTTAAAACAAGAAAGTGTCATGTGGCGGAGTCCATACAAAGGAGGAGTGGAGAGAGTTGAGGCTTAATTATGGGGTAGGAGAATGACCGAAACTCGTTCCGTAGAGGAATGGAGGAGCCAATAACTCCGGCCCAAATGTAGGTGCACGTTATGACTACCACGGAAAGGTGGCAGTTGGCAGAATCCACGCCGCCACTTAAAGAAGTGGGCAAAAGAAAGGTTTGTGCTTTGGCCTGACGTACTAACGAGATGCTTTAGGTAGTCATGGTGAGGATAGGGTATTCCATTTATTTATTTTGTTTACAACACACCCAATGACGCCCTTTTGGAGAGCCAACGTGATAGCAGGTCTCATGACCTGCATCACGAGTGACGACTATCCCTCGGCTGCCCTTATGAGCTGTTTGTAGACACAACATGACAACAAAAACTGCTTTGATTGTGCAAGCTGAAACATAAGCCGGGATACTCCATACCGGATGTCACCATTTCAAATACACTCGTGCCTTTTGTTCTTTGAGTGGAAAATGAGATGAGAGATGAGGGAAGCCATTTGTTTCATTAAAATTTTTTCCCCATTTTTATCTTCTGAGAACGAATAAGCCAATTAAAAGTGATGTAGACCAGTGAGAGGCAGATTCAAGGGAAGTGAGAGGTGGGGAAGGGGAAAAATTGAATAGACACTGATTCCACCGATTTTGAAAGGCATTTGTTTATTCCTCAAGTCACAACTGTGACGACGAAATAAACACACATGCATGCCGGCGTTTCGTTGCGTATGGATTCATGCCTAATTATCAGTGCGGTTCGCTGTTATGGGTGTGTTACGATATTGTATGATTGCAAGAGGCTCTCGAAGCTATTCCTGAAGATGCAAAAATAGTTTCGCATAATAATTCTGCATCAAGAAAGCAACTACATCAAGGCGCCTCCTGTGTAGATGCATTACTTACGGACTATTTTTGACAACTTTAAGCTTAGGCGTGTTGTTGTAATGAGTAGTGAGTAAAAGCCATCATTAATTGCTTCCTCTTTAGCTGATTGGTTGTCTTGAAGGACGCACCCAGCCGTAGAAAATCGGATGGCCAATCAGAAAGAAGCCCAACTTTTTTTGCAATCCAGAGGTGAAGATTATCTCGACAGTCGGTTCTGGCGAATTTAAAACTTTGCTGAGGTAGTTATTAGAGGAGATAATCAAAGATACTCACCAAAACTTAAATACTAACTAATTGTCGATAGAGGAAGTGTTGAGTTGCTTTGAGAGCATGAGAGGGTAGGGATGAGGTTGATGTCAGCCTAGGAGGGTGATGACGAAAGAGCGGACATAAGCGGTGAATATGAATAGTTAGTGATTGCTTACAAGCGGATGGAGTGAAGACCAAGAGTAGTGATGCTGAAACTTGACACAACCCGATAGCGTATTATTGGCCAAAATTAGATGGGTAAGCAATCCAAGAAAAATCTTAATATTGACATTGCAAGTAATCCATACTTAATTATTTAACAGAGAAGACAAAAAAATTATGCAGCATAATAAGCATTGATATTCGATTGCTCGCTTAAAGTACAATAGCCTCGATCATGCCACTGCTGGATGTGACATGCACGCCAGTCAACTTTCAAAGGGACAAGTCGGGGTTGCGTAAGTCGTGCAAAGTGTACTTTTAATCTTGAAGCATGGAAGAACCTTCAACTTGTTGGCATTGGCATCAAGTTGGCGCCTCCACCCTCGTAGAGGTCATCACATCCCTTTCCTCCCCCTCCCCTCCACCTCCCCTCCCCTCCACCTCCCCTCCCCTCACCTCACCTCACCTCAATTCACCTGCCCCCTCCGTAGCCTCCACTTGCTGTAGCGATGGCCTTTTGGATAGCTGTTGCTCGGCCCTTGGATTGTACGCTCTGGAGTGAGGCAATGAAGTGTATGTGAAAGTGTGGTGTCGTGGTGGGGGACGACAGAGCAAAAGAAGAAGATGAAGACAACGAGAGAGAAGCATGCGGAGAGGCAAGTGGGAGAGGGGGGAGGGGAGAAGGTGGAGGTGGATTGGATTGGATTGGATTGGGATGGCAGAGGCGAGAGTAAAGCCTCTGAGCTACACATTACTTGAATGGCGTTGCGTGGTGTGGCGTGGCGTGGCGTGGTGTGGCGTGGTGGGGGGGAGAGGGATAATGTGGAGCACACCTCTTGGCTGGGAGACCACCTCCCATAGGCCATGGTGCAGCGCCCATGGGACACCACACTAACAAACAGGTCGTTTGGTAATTGCCTATTCTCAAGTGACTTTCTCTCGTTTTATGGTGGCGTTGGCAACAGTGGAGAAGCGCTTGCAAGCAGCACAGGTGGAATTCCAGACCAAGTGGGACAGTCCTCAACAAGTAAGTGGCGTTGATTGTTGCTTGTTGACACTGATGCAGTCTTCTTCCTCCGCTCCACACATTGTTGTGTCACACCCCTCCTCTCCTCTCCTCTCCTCTCCTCTCCTCCCCTCTCCTCCCCTCTTGTCTACTCCCCTGTCCCATCCCCCTTCATTCGCCCCGCCCTTTGCCCAATGTGATGCTTCCTGGGGAGGCTCAACTGGTCTTCGCTCAATTGGTGCACTCACTTTCCGCTTCATGGCACACTCAAAACGACGCTGCTGGCATCATCGAGGTGCGGGAGAAGGGAGAGGGCAAGGGAGGAGAGAGGGCAGAGAGTTATAGTGGGAAGGAGAGATAAATGAAAGCAGATGTCTCGGAGAATAAATATGAAGGCTTCGTATAGTGATGCGGTCCAAAAATAGCTTTAGCTAGTGACCTCGAATTTCGGAGGTAGTAGAAGGAGATGGAAAGGAAAAAAATTTTACACAATCCCCTGGGACTGCTAAAAGTGTGCGTGCACGTGTGTTTGCCTCACTGACCCACTTCACTGGTGGCTAATGTAATTTGATTGTACAAAAAAGGAAGGTGATGTTTTGCCTTGGAGGAGTGGAAAGAGTTGCATGCAGATGCATCTTTTTTTAACGCAAAAGTGGAAGAATAAAAGATTAAAGAGGAGATGGACAAGTCGATTTTCAGTGATGGGCGTAAGAGGAAACCGTATCTGGGTGAGTAATGATGACTTTTGCAATGACAGCATCACCAATCATGCAGAAATTCTGATGAAAAGGAAACGTTTAGCCTTGGAATCGGGATTGGAAAATGAATTCGAGATCTTGTTGAGACAAATAAACACTTTCGTACGCAGTGAATAAAAAGAGCTTGACAAGTTGTACAGGCCGACGATGGGATTACTTGCAATCCCACACCAACCTGATGAGAATTTCTTACGGCCTTGACGACAAAACTAAACGCTCTTCATGATGTCTTGAAGTGTGAAGACGACTTGTTACTGTGGTTGACCTTCCCACTGCCATTGTCGCACCGTCTTTTGACGCACCCAATCAGAAGCAGTTGACCGTTCTATCCATTTAGACAACGATAAAGTGGAGTGCCTGTCCATGGAACTGCCTTTTAGTCAGTTTGACTGGTGTCTACAATGGGTGATGAAGTTTAAGCTACCGCAGTGCCACCCACGCTACTTGGCATGACCCTTGGGTCCTTCTCAACTCCATCGCAGAATTGCTTGCCGTCTGACTGGAGGTGATGCGATACTACTTATTTAAACCATCTCCAAAGGTCCAACAAACATCCCATCTGTCGTGCCCAAAACAGCTCCTCACTGTGTCTCTGACACATCTGAAGCACACGCCGCTTAATCCCAAGGGGGCAGTACCTCTTCCTCGCCCTGCAAGTGTAACGGTGTGATCACTTTAAAGAGATGGAGAGCAGCGTGATAAGGCAAGGCATAGTCCTACCGTATGCCCAACTTTAGGCCTTTGATCCGCCTTCTGGATTTTTTCAATGAAAGAGAGCCCTCAATGGGAGACCTTAGTGAACATATTACTAAGATGGGAAAGCAAAAAGTGGAATACGAGCGTTTCTCCTCCACCTTTACCTAAAATGCACGACTCAAACATGCCGTATGCATTCGATTTTTACCTCCTAAAATGTCATACAAACGCCGACTGCATGCATCCTTACAAAGTGAGGTGGCGGCAAACCTCATTATTCGTCTTTTTTCTAAATTACCTCCTATCCTCATTACTTATCAACCGCTCTTATTGGAAGGAGGTCTTGTGAAGGATGAGGTGGACAGCCATGGGAATGAGAAGTGCAAAGATACGATAAAAGTGAAGCAAACAAATATAAGGTTAAAATAGATGGTAGGTTTAGAGCTAAAATGTGAAGCAGAAAGATGGGGAATAGTTTACTGAAAAAATAGATGTGTCCTGCACTAGCATGAGATCTTGATTGCATACAAATCTGGACTGATTCGCCTCCAAATCGACCAATTAGGTTGCTTTGGTTGCTTAAATGGACTGCGTCCTCGAGTTTTGCCGCTTAACCGAGGCCGAATGCGAGTCAAACAGGCAACAAAGGGGTTGCTCGAGCTGATTATCCTTTCAACCAGCAAAATTCGGTGTGAAAATGTTTGTATTTGTAGTTCTATTTGTTTGTATCTGACTTAACTGAGCTCCCTTCCAATATCAACTGACCTTTTGTTTCGTCTATGCTACTCATTGCAGTCATAAGTAGGGTGATGCGAATGGCAGGCTGATGTGTGAGGGAAAGTGAAAGAGAAGTAAGCTGCACTAGTCAAGATTACTCTATCTTAACGAATTCACTTTTAGAGTACTTTGCTGCAAAGTGACTCCTTAGGACAAGTTGACTTGTGCACCAGATGCTTGGCCAACTTAAAACCGACACTGGTTTCCGCCTGCGTAGATGTCACCGCAGGGTCAAACTAGATTTAGCCACCGAAAGTATGGGTGGTACAGAAGTCATAATGTCAGTGGCAGCTGTGTTGGGAGAAGGTTAAAGGGAAGGGGAGCAGAAAGAAGGTTGTAGGCTAGGTCTTGACGGTACTTTAGTCGTTATGGCACATGTCATGTGCGTTAGCAGGACTGTAGTAAACTGCTATTGCCATAACTTTAACGACAACATTCAGTAAATAATGTCAATGGGCTTGTTTCCTTTGCTTACCTAACTTAAGTGCGGTGCTTAAAAGGACCATCTTTGTGGCTACGAGTGCCTTTAAACGCAGAGGTCGGTGATGGACCCCATAATAATTACAGTGTAGCATTTTTCATAAAGTGCAAATCGGGCAAGGAGATTGGAGGCTGTGGGATGATTGAAACTTCGAGTCATTCAATTCCACTTAAACCGTGCACACTGCGGACGCAGGAAGCGGCAACCCACTCGATTTACCTCACTGAATCAAAATGTTATTAAAAATGCCATATGAGGGTGCAATAAAAATGATGAATGAGTGAGTGGATCTGTAAGGGATAAAATGTCGAATCTGAGGATGCATGAAAGGGTTTACACAGACGCTGTGCCAAGAGGCGATTTAAATGCGATCCTCACAAGATACGTTGAAATATCAGCATGGTGGAGTGCAACTTCTCATCACTTCATCTTCTGACATCAGCATAACCTTGCAACTGCAGTTTTTGCAATTTTGTTTCCTAAAAGACTGTTTTCCTTCTTCTCCTTTGACTGTGAAACTTTTTGCTTGCTTAAAAATTGTGCCAAAGTCATATTGGCTTTAAGTACTTCGGCTTACTTCCTCCCCATGTACCGTCGCGTCTTGTTAAGTTACCATCAGGAAATTGGTCAAAGCGTGTCGCATCAGTGTGGGGGAATGGGGGTGTCTCCTGAGGCCATCGCTCCATCAGTCGTGTTGGCTAGAAGTAAGATGGAGAGCTGCGTTGATTGTTTGTTATTTCCCTGAGAGCCTTGATAAAGTCTGTCAGTTTGTGGCATTTATGCTGCCTCCTATCTGCCAGCCCTTCCACACACCGATGACAAAGGCACGCTGCCACCACCAACCGTTTATGTTGGAATTTCGATTGCGTTAGTTGAAGGACTTCGCATCCTCACACAAGAGAAGGCGAAGGAGGTGGCGGCAGGGTGTTGACCGTTGCGACAGGGCAACATGGTGGACTAAATTCGGCATTACATCACTGCTGGAGGAAGCTGTTAAGTGATAAATCATCGTTGGAGGCGCAGAACACTGCCCACAGAGACAAGTAAGATTTTTTATTTTGGCTAAACAAGGACGTCCCTTATCAACCGGGATAGCGTGAACAGGAAGGAAAGAACTCCACTTCTAATCAGTTAAGGAACAGCTGTTTCGCGCACACAACACGAAGAGAGCGGTACGCGGTCTCCACCTCTTCTCAAGATCGTACATTTCCAGTCTGTACAACTTCAAAGTGCTTGCTTCAAAAAAAGGGGTTGTGAATTTTCCTTTAGCAGAAATTGTGTGCTAAGATAACACAGATACCGAAGCAGAAGGGAGAAGGTGGCGGTGGTGGAGGCAGAGGCGGAGGAGGAGGCACGGATTATCGTCTTTTTACCTCCTTTTAGCCATAGCATGGCGGCATTGCACAACTAAAAAGGGTCTTGGCTAATGAATTCACCCAGGAAGGGTGGAGCAAAGCGACCAAGCCTAATTACCGATGCTAATTAGTGGGGCACCTGACTCCATGGGGACGCCATTGAGCCTCCAGAGGACAGAAAAGCACTTACTGCAGTCAAACGAGCATCACTTGTACTTTATTGGATGATTCGATGCATAATTGGCAGTGATAAAAATTCTCAACATTTTTCTTTGTGAAGGGATTTTCAATGTACAACACCACATCGCAGTAAAAATTATTCCACACCAATCATTTATGAAATGTGGCGCCACGTTTTAGTCAAACTTCAACAAATGTCCAACCTTTAACCAGTGCAGAATGGCTCAATGTGTCGGCACCAGTGGAATTGGACTGAATCACACGAAGGACGCATTCAGGCTTTTTTGTGGACCCTGGAGGAAGAAGACGACGGGATGAAGGTGAGTGGTGTGTAGGCGTTTGACTTTTTCCCAACCAGGCAGAGAGACCGAAAGTTTTGCATCTCTTGCCAAAACTGTGGCACAAATTCCTGCTGGCCAAAAATAAAATCCGCTTTTGACCTCGCAACTCATCAAAACGTCTAGTTTTGATTCAAGTCCAATTGATTTACCCACCAACAGACTTGCCTGCTTTGTGCAGCGAACGATGGGGATGTGACGGGTGATGGCAAAAAGCAGTCCTCTTAGGGGAGACTTAAGTAAAACGGTTGGATGGTGTGAGATGGGAAGTCATTTGTGCCACACTGCAAAGGCTCTTTTTTCCTCTCCAAAGCAATAAAATTTGAGGCGAAATTGAGGACTTTAAGAACGGGGAGGAGGATGAGACCAAAGCAGTACATCTACGTCTGCATTATGTGAATGACGAGTGTCGAAAGAGAGGCGATTAGCTGCTCAGCGGTCGCTAGCTTCGAGTCAGAAGGAAGGTTTCAAGTTCACGTATAAATAGATGACTTCGGCCGTGGTTGGACGATTGGCCACTTGTGGTTTTGCCATTGCCCATCCACCAGACGGCGCAACTTTTCTGCCTGCCGGTGGCTTGACGTTGCATGTGTGGTCGTCGCGAAGGTCCGAAGCAGCTCAAATGACTGGCATGTCAAACCGTTGGTTTTCGACGATCAGTAAAATGAAGTGATTAGGAATGTGAACAAACACGTCCACAACTTGTGTGTCTGGATGCAAAAAAGAGTCAAGTTCGGAGTAGTAGTCCGATGAATGTGCTCCGACGATCGTGCATC